TTTATTGAAATCAGTGAACATTTCTACGTAACATATTTTATGTTAATTTGAAAATTTTCGGATTCACGGTTTTCTTTTTATCGCGAGTTAAATGAAAAAAAGCACCCGATTTTTGAGAGTGCCAGCAACTTTGTGTACTTTGCGATTTTTTTTTTCCAAACTATTTAACGAAAAAATTTCAAATTTGAACTGGTGAGTTCTTAATGTGGGGCATATTTTATTTTTTCGATATTCCATACAGTTTCGCGGAAAATCGCGGTTTAGTAGGATGCGGTTATTTAAAAAACGACCTGACGGATTTCAACGCGATTTTTACCAAAATATGTCAAATAATGTCGGATTCCGTTATCGGTTTTTCAAAATTAGGACTCCCTAATTTTTTAAGAGCGATTTAATGGAATTAAAAATTAAAGAGAAACAGAAATAAGCTATGGGAGAGCAGGGTTCCGTTCAATCGGAACAGATGGTATGTCCCAGACAGTTCGTCGCGCCTTTATCTTACCTACATAAAGAAATAAGGATATTTCAATTGAAAAAAAAGCAGTTTGTACTTTTACAATAGGAAGACAGTATTTACGACCAAAACCTATAGAGAAATATCGAAATTATGATCATTTGTGAATCAAAGTGCCAACATCCAGCTTTTCCTATTTCTGTAATTTTTCTCAAAAAGCACGAAATACAGTGATTCATTCAGTTTATTTTGATTGTTCTTCTTCTTCTTAAAACCTGGGGTAACCACTTGGTGTCTAGGTTTATATAGCCCTTTTTCCACCAGTTACAATTTTTTTTTGTATCAGTTTATCTTCAAATTAGGTAGCCCTGTGGGGAGATAAAGTTCCAAAGATCAAAAACAACTCAAATAAATAGAACTACCGGAAGGGGGAAATGATCCTTCCTTACTACCTTAACCCACTCAACTACTTGTACTTCCTTAAGCACCTACATGCCTATAGCCCACCGAACGGCGTCAGATGTACATCCCCGGGTAAACCCCTCGAAAGGATGAACATCTACTGAACAGTCATACATGCATTAAAAAATAAAATCAAACAAAAATTCTTATCTTGCACAAAAAATAAAAAAGCATTCTCAAAACTCTAGCGTTATTGGTCGCCAAAAGTAAACTAACATTATATGGAGGGAAAACACCCTCCCTTCTCAACTTAACAAACATTCTACTTCTATCCAACTCATACGTTTCACAGGCCAAAATCATGTGGTTAAGATCAGAAAATTCTCCGGAACTGCAGTTTGGAGAATCCGCCATGCCAATCCTATACAGATGTGCAGGAAACATGCCATGTCCCACTCTCATGCGATTAATTGTAGATGTCATGTGTTTAGATTCTGAAGGCAATAGCTTATACCATGCCCCTTCTCTGACATCCCTCTTAATCAACCATAAGGCTCTGCCCTTGAATCTGCTACTATCATCCCAATCCCGCTGCCATAAATCCAATACATCCCTCTTCAATTCGTAGACAATATCACTAACGTCTTTGCGTATCTGATACCATGGACCAGTGTACCCCGCCGTCAGACCATCCGCCCTCTCGTTCCCAACAATTCCCACATGGCCAGGAATCCAAGCCAACTCACTCTTCAGTTCTTCTACAGTACACTGCCAGCTAAGTTCTTTAACTTTGTTCCCCAAATAATGTACCTTCGTATTTCTTCCCATGGCCACCTCCTATGCACGGATCACACTCAACCAATCTGTGAATATCACAACTGGTGACACCCTGTTTGTCTTTACATAGTCCATTGCCCACCATACAGCAAACAATTCTGCCACAAATATATTAGTATGGTCCGATAGTTTTCCCGAATGGGACAACTCTAAGTCGGGCGCATATACACCAAAATGAACTCGTCGGGTTGGATCCCCTGTCGCCGAAGCATCTGTAAAAATAAACTTTGTACCCGGCCACGACGCCTGAACTTCCCTATCAAATACAGCATTATAATTAAAGCTAACTGCAGGCAATGTTGGTCTGAGTTTAGCACACACTATATCAGTTCTCACTTTGGGGGCATGAACATACACATCAAAATTTACTCTGAACATATCCAACATATTAGTACGTCGCATATCTACTATTCTTGGTAACAGGGTATCATATCTCTTTATAATCAGTGCCACTCTACTATCGGCCACCCTGCCATCCCTATGTAGTTGGTTCAAATTTTCTATTAAATTTCCTACCGAACCAGTTCTACGCATAAGGTTTTTCACAACAAATTTATTCATTAACAGACGCAACCTTAAATCCAATGGTATAATATCCGCTTCAACCAATAGCACATTGGTTGGTGTAGATCAAATTGCACCAGTAATAGCCCTAGCTGCCTGGAGCTGAATGCCAGTTAACTTCTTAAACACCGGAACTGGGACAGGCAACATCAACCAAGTAACAAACTCCAGTCTAGACTGAATAAGTGCTTTATAGAGTAACGTAGAAACCATTGAACCACATCCTCATCTAGTTGATGAAAGAAACCTCAGCAAATTAAGTGCCTTCTGACAGCTTTTTACAACATAGTTCACATGCTCTCTCCAAGACAACCTCACATTCAGATGTACACCCAGGTATATCGTGTTCACAGTCGTTGCGATATTTTCACCCCTTAGCCTAATTGGAGGAATGAGCTCAGGTCTTCTCCTGCGGCTAAAAAACATTGCCTTCGACTTATTAGGTGCCAGACTCAAATTACGCTCTTCGAGAAAACTCGCTGTCGCATTCAATGCATCGTTCATGATTTCAACTGCCAATTCAATGGAACACAACAGTTTTTATTTCACGCGACTCATTAATAATACTAATGCCTCTGATGTAGTAGTTAAATAGTATCGGACTGAGAGACCTTCCCTGGGGAAAGCCCCTGTATGAAGTTCTACCGCCTATCTTGCTGGGATCATGTTTGAGCTGATATATATTTCTGGTTAAAACCTGACGCAGAAGAGCAACTAAACAAGACGGGCATCCATCTCGATTAAGCATTTTCAATAATAAGGTGATATTTACATTATCATAAGCTGACAAAATGTCAATAAAGACCCCGACCATAATATTTCCTTGATGAAACGCCTTCTGGATGGACCCAATCACCGTGAAAAGGCAATGAGCCACTCCCGTACCCTTTCTAAATCCAAACATCGTTTCGTTAAGCATTAAACGGGATTCCATCCACCACTCCAGACGCGCCAGTGCCATTCTTTCGAGTAATTTCCTAGAACAATTGATTAGGGAAATAGGTCTATATCCCTCTCTTGAATTAGGATCTTTACCCCTTTTGGGAATCGGAACTACCTGTATTTCATGCCAAACATCAGGAACATTGCCTCCATTCAAGATGTTATTAAAGGTTTTCAACAGGATGTCTTTGCTACTATCTGAAATGTTGTTTAACATGGCAAAACTGACGTCGTCTGAACCGGGGGATGTTGTCTTTTTAAACTTTAAAACTAACTCTAATTCCATTCTGCTGAATGGTTTGCCTATATTAATGTCCGACTCTTCAATTATACCGGTTTCAACATCTTCCAAATTAGGCACATACTCCGGAAAAAGGTGAGACATAAAATCCATGGTCCATGCGAAATCTGTAGATGATTGGGTTTCAGTGCCATTGATGGCTCTGTCGTAATGCCTTATGGTTCCCACTATCATTCCTAATGATGACTCCCTGGATAGTGATTCGCAGAAATGTTTGAAAGATTCTCGTTTCTTTTTTAGTAGAAGTCTTTTACTCAAAGCTATATACCTCTTGACTATGGTAAAATTAATCTCGCTAGGACACGTAATAAACTGCCTGGTTATCATCTTTCTAAGTCCTACAATTCTCGCGCAATTACCATCCCACCATCTACAACGGTAATTCGTTTTGACATTTAACTTAATCTTCGGAATGAAATAATTAGCCGCCTCCCTTATTGCCATTATCAATGCCTCGTAAGAAGGTGATGTTTCCAGCTTTAAGCAGTTGTCTATGTGTTCTGAAAAACTAGTCCAGTTCACCTTCTTGTAGTTAAACCTATCAGTTTTCTGGGTTTTGGATTTGCTACAGAATGGAGTAATACGGGTAAGTACCTTAGCTAAAACAGGAAAATGATCACTCCCAAAAGTGTCTGTATCGGTTTTTGAAACAACGTTTCGCGCTATATCCGACGAACAAACAATCAAATCTATAACGCTGACTTTGTTATTTCTATTTAAAAAAGTTCTTCTTTTTTCATTCATCACGGTCAAATCTAATGTTTCAATTAGCTCGCTCAATGCCAGGCTTCTTTCGTTTATGGTGTAACTCCCCCATAAAGGATAGTGTGCATTAAAATCACCCAAAATAATAAAAGGTGCAGTAACATTCAAGAGTAATTGGTTCAATGGGGTTTTGATAATCATCAGCTTTATTGTCTAAATAATCGTCTCACTTTAAATTGCTCTAAATGTAACATCAACTCTTTCTCTAGGAAGAGAATCATCCATTAATATCATCCTATAAGTTATTATTTGTCATACAATGATATCAATTTGATGGTATCTAAAACCTTGCGAAGGTTTTGCGAAGAGATCCACAGCTTCTTTTACAAGTGTTACTACAATCAAAATACTGTATTTTGCTTTTGTTTACAGTTCTTTCAACCAGATGCCCCTAGTACCAAACATACATATCCAAGATGGAAAGAATTTAAAAGTAGTTTGTAAAATACTTATGTTTTTAATGTTCAATTCAATACTGTGACTATGACTCTTCTTTCAAACATTTCAGGATTATGACCCTTAGCCAGCGCCGTATACTCTTCTTCTTTAAGCTTCTACATAATATATGTTTAGTCGTTTCTAGTTTTAGGTCTAGTGTTAGTTTAATAATAATATACATCAACCTAGCACTGGATAACAAATGGCAAAATTTACAAATCAGAAGCAAAGGATTTTTCTATAAATTTAACATCAAAAAATGTTCAAGCAGAGAAACTTGTAAAATAAATTATTGAGTTAATCGCAAAATTGTTTAATGTTTTCTTTAAGCTTATTTTTATTTATTGAACAAAAATTAATATGATTTAACACTTTACTTGGTACATGGTTCTGGAGTAATTACATTTGGAATAACTTCCATTAAAAGTATATCACCGCCAATTAATAAACGATCTGTGTGTAAATAATGATGTCTATGTTTAAATTTACGTGTCCAAGTTCCGTTAATCTTCAACTGCAATATAATTAAAATGTTTGTTAACTGTAAGGTTCTATTTAAATTCTATTTAATGTTCTTACGACATATTCTTCCTTGTTGCAGGTAACTTCTGCTTCAAATTCGATTCCTGGTCGAACAGGATTATCGCCAGTTCCTTCTGGATTTTCCCATTTATTATTGATATCCATAGAAGCAAAAACAATGTTGTTTTTGGTGTAATGAATATTCAGGTGAAAGATGTGTTGTTTAGATAAATGATGTAGCAAGTTTATATCAATATTTGTACCATTTTTATCCGGGATTCCTCGTACTTTAAATGTTGACCCCCAGACAGGAGAATATAAAAATTGTGCCCGATTACTCTAAAATAATACTAAAATAACACAAGTAAAAGTGTCATAAAATTACTTACAGTCATTTCGGTAGTTTTAAAAACACTAATTTTTTATTTTGTTGGTTACGATTAAATAGTAAACAAATTCTGTGAAAAACAGGAAGAATATTTCCTTTTTGTGTTTATATTCTTGCATCATTTATGGTGGTTTTTAACCACCATAAAAATAATGTACAAAAATAAAGTTTTTATCAAAGAATAGATTATTTACACTGTTTTTAACATTTTTTCTATATTATTTTTAAAACTAAGAATATTAAAAAATTGTTAATCATATAATACATGAGTTTAGCTTGAATTTGACATAAATAAATATCTATCCGATCACCTCAAACGATTCAAACATATCCGTAATCCTAAACATTTTAATTATTATAACCAATACATCTGCAATAGGTACTAATACTATTAATGAAAATAGGCAGTGCATTAATTCAAGAATTAATCTGAACTAATCTGAATATATACTCAAAACCTAACATATATATTTTAAATCGATTACGTGGAGTTTGAAGAGATTATAAATTTAATCACGTTTAATTTTCTTAATATTATAATGAGGATATTTCGTAAGAATAAACGAAATAACCTTAAACCATCAAATGGGAAGAGGTCATTATCAATCAAAATGAGATACAAAGCGAATTGCATTCATCAATTCAAACGAAACAGTGATAAATATCGTGATGATGATTACTATTTTGCTCTAAGCCTCAAAGATACAAGGTTGAATAAACAAAATAACATTAAACCATCAAATAGGAAAAAGTCATTATCAAGCAAAATGAGATACAAAGCGAATTGCAAAAATTCCTACGCATAGAAGAGGAAAAATAGAATCAATTTAAACGAAAAAGTGATAAATGTCATGTTGATGATTACTATTTTGCTCTAAGCCTCAGAGTTACAAGGTTGAAAATCATTGTTGTCAGTTGGTTAGGTTTAGGACGTGGGATTCGTAATACAGTGCGAGCAAGCCAAGACATTACAATGAATACCACATTGATACAAAGTTGGAAATAATTTTGGTGTACCTGGTACAAACTTAAAACATGGAATTTTTGATATAACTTGATTAAGTCGAGGCCGAGAGGCTACAGTTAATAAGACATTGATATAAAGTTGTAGATAATTTTACAATGCCTCGGTCAAACTTAGAATGAAGAAGTGTGACATGGCTTGATTACGCTAAGGCCAAGATGTTACAATTAATATCTCGTTGATACAACATTGGAAATCATTTCGTTTAGTCTCGGTCAAACTTGAGATGGGAGATTTATGACATTGATTCATTAAGAATAATTCGCTTGCAACTTCTTCACCAACAGAAAATCCAAACCAACGGTATTTGCAATCACCTATGGATGGTGAGATGTCAGATACTACAACAGCATGAATTTCTAATGTTAATACAACTTATTAATTTGTATACTTGAATCCTGTAAAAGCTATAAGTTTGTTTTTTATTGAATTATTTTATTATCGCCATCTGAAAGTTACACAACTGTGAACATATCGAAAACGTGGTTGCATGCCTTTAAAATATCAAACACTTTTTAAACAAGAAAACATCTATGATGTAAATTATTACTTGATTTATTTCCTGTCGCTCCTAGTGGAACGTAATGTTACTACCAATTTCTTTAAAATCCCGATTGCAATTCAAATTATCTAAGCGCTCATGGGTGATCACTGATCACTTATACCTGAGAGGCTGTTGAATTTAAGTATTGAAATGACATGAGCAGTTTTGCATATTGATAGACGTGAAGACCGTTTAAATGAAAATTAAAAATATAAATCCAAATTGGGGAATTATAATCAAAATAGGAAGGAGAAGGTTGGGATCAATACCATCAGAGTCCACACTTTTGAGTTCATGGAAAAGAACAGAAGGGTGTAAGAATTTTTTAGCAGCAGCTTCCTTATTTGTAACATTCATGATCAATAAAGAAACCTCACCATCGAATTACAATCAAAAGCATTTTGTGTTGTGTTCATCGGACAGTTATGATAGAAGTAACACCTTTTAGCATTTTTACATCTACGATTACAATTGCGCAGAATTCGATAATTTTCGTAATTGATATTAATTTGTGTACGTTTATCAATCTAATTTCATCAGTTAATCATAGTGCAAACGTGCTTTACTTTGCGTCTTCTAAATGGCATAAACGCTTGTAATTAATAATTATCGATGCTTTTGCAGAATAATTTAGATCTCATTCAATTAGATCCTGTAGACTAGAATATTGACGAATTTAACGAATGGCGTTCTATCAACTGGACCATTTCAATTTGTTGAATAAGCTAAATAATCTTGAATTTAGTTCTACATTGCTATTATTAATGAAATTTTATTTACTACATCGGCAGCACAATTTCTCTATGAAGGCTTCTTCTCTACATGATGCTGCCCGAATTGAACTTTGGGCCACTACTATTTCTGGTGTACATGAATAATGTAATAAAGATATTGGAAAGTATCTATGGAATGATGTACCTTACTGCTTAAATAAAGTATTGGTCGTTGTGCTTCCTCCCCCATACCCGATCGAGTATGTGTGGGATATGATGGGTCGCTATATAAGGCGTTTACCACAAGCAGCATACACCTTGCAGGAACTTCGTCGTCATCTACAGCAAACCTGGGATGAGCTTGCACAAGATACCATTCATCATCTCATTCAGAGCATGCCTCGCAGAGTTAGATAGTGCATAAACAATTGTGGGGATGTAACATTTTATTGACATAAATTGTTGATATTTTTTTTCAATTGTTATGATTTACTACTGAAATAAATACAAATTACTTGTAAAAATTTCAGCTTTGTGAGTCAGCTCTTTCGAGGTGTTGCATTTTTTTGCCACTTAGTTTATATTCGTTTTACAATTCATTTCAGGCTTGGTAAATTTACTGTCTAGTGCAGACATACTGTCTAGATCGTAAACTAAGTATCGTTTTCATTATGCATTCTTAAAATCAGAGTGCGGATAAGATTCGAGAAAATACGGTAAAATGGCATTTTGCCTTCTTATGATATACCTCTATCTTATAATGCAAATGGGTTACTACATTTGCATTACAAGCTCAGATATGTGCTAATTTTATCTGGCCATTATTTGAAATTATTTGAAAAGGTTTAAGTACTAACAATGTAAATACAAAAATTAATATGATTTAACACTTTATTTAACACATGGTTCTAAAGTAATTACATTTGGAATAATTTCCATTAAAAGTATATCACCTCCAATTAATAAACGATCTGTGTGTAAATAATTATGTCTGTGTTTAAATTTACGTGTCCAAGTTCCGTTAATCGTCAGCTGCAATATAATTAAAACATTTATTAACTGTAAAATTCTATTTAATATTCTCACAATATATTCTTCTTTGTTGCATGTAACTTCTGCTACAAATTCGATTCCTGCTCGAATAGGATTATTGTCAGTTACTTCTTGCTTATCCCATTTATTATTCATATCCATAGTATCAAAAACAATGTTATTTTTGGTGTAATGAATATTCAGGTGAAATATGTGTTGTTTAGATAAATTATGTACTAAATTTATATCAAAACTTGTACCATCCCTATCCGGGATTCCTCGTACTTTAAATTTTGACCCCCAGGCAGGAGAATATAAAAATTCATAATTACTCTAAAATAATAAATACTAAAATAACAGAAATAAAAGTACCATAAAATGACTTACGGTCATGTCGATAGTTTTAGAAGAACTAATTTATTTATTTGGTTGGTTTAGATTAAATAGCAAACAAATTCTGTGATAAACAGGAAGAATATTTCCTTTTAACCACCATGAAAATAAGGTACACAAACAAAAATAAAGTTTTTATCAAAGAATAGGTTATTTACATTGTTCTTGACCCTCTTTTCTAATGTATTTTTAAAATTGAGAATATTAAAAAATTGTTAATCATATAATGTCTAACCTAATATGTGAAAACCACACTGATAGTGGCAAAGAAAACTTAATAAGGAAATGCTTGAACTTAGGTAACGAGTTCGGAAAGGCCCAAACTGTAGTAGGTACAGAAGTATAAACAACTACAACTGTCTAAAAACTTGACTTTGGGTCCTTGAAGTCTACCATCCTTAGAAACCAAAAATTGCTCAATCACAAAGACCATCTAGGAACTAGATGAGTTAGATCATTAGAAGCATCTAGGATGTAAATTATTACTTTACTTATAGCTTGTCGCTGCTGGTGGAGTATATGGCAGTAAGCGGTAAACAATAAGAAGAAGAAAACATTAGCGTCTTCTCAAAGTCTGAAAACGAAGGTAAACCTCAATATTAAAACTTTTAGATTCCATCCCCGTTATTCTGACTATTGTTGTTGTTCTTTTATACAACGCTCTTGTGACTTGATTAATTTGTCAGGTGTTCATGTCACTTCCATGGCTTTCCAAATGGTTTTCTTTCATATACCATTGAACACTGCAATCAAGTATAAGAATGCCTCCCTTGTCCTCCCTTCGCAATATTTATACCAGGTCTGTCATTTATACTACATGCCGTTTAGCCATATAGTCTTTAAACTTTCCCTGTATTTCTTGGCCAAAGTCTTTCCATACTTTATTCTTTGCTTTTCTAACTACTTATTTAAGTTCGTACCTCTTGTTTATGTAACACTGCCTATCTTCTTCTATTTTTGTTGGTAGATGCATCGTTCATGTCCACTCATTACTTACTCCACCATTTTGTTCTTTGAGAGAATATGAAAACTAGTTTTTTTTGTTAAAGTTATTTTCTTTAGCTTTAAAGTTCGTTTTAAAGTTTTTAAATACTGGGCAAATAGCAAATAAATGAAATTCATGGAATGTGCACTTTTGCCACTTGTGGTCATCATTTCACTAGTTGTGGTCATTAAAGGTATCAGTTGTGGCCAGTAGGTATTGAAAAGATGCTTGCTACAATTATTATAAACAAATATTTTATTAAAGAACTCATGGAACAACCGAACAACATATTCCAAAATATAAATAAATAAATATTCAAAATAAAAAGAATAAATGAACAAATGTAGCCTATTTAGGGAATATTTTCATTTCCGGAACTGCATAAACTCCACGCGAATTTACTACCGATGGATCCCTTATTTCTAAAATAATATCTTTCTCATTGTACCAGAGAAGATCATGAGGCCATTTCCAGTTCTCTTTTCCAGTTTTCTTCATTGCAAAACAATAATATTCACCTCCATCCTCGTTTACAATTTTGGCTGGATAAATATTTTTATCATATTTAATTATCACATATGCTCCAACCCTTAAGAAATTTATTTATCTTTGTGTTTGCTCGCCATTTTCATTTACTTCATTATTTTGCTTTGTGGTTACGTTGTTTTGTGTATCTGGTTTATCTTCGTAATATGTAATAAAATGATATTGTTGGTACGACGTTCCAATACAATACTATCTGGCCCTAAGAGTTCTTTAATTTCTTTAAACCACTGTCGAATATTATATTTTGAAACAGCCGGTCTAGCCTTGTTATAAACTCGGCTTACTTTTTGGTTATTTCGGGGTGGCGTTTCATAAACGAATCAAACCATTCCCGTTCTGGTGTATTATTAGTGAATTTTGTACTTAAATTACAGTCTTTAATAATTTTTTGTACCGAGTACAGTAGGCCTTCTCTATTAATAGGAAATCCCCTGAAAGCGCATTTGAGGATCCCATTCACTAGCTTTCTTTCTGGTTCTTCTCCCAGGACACATGCAGGACCAACCCGACGACAGTCATCAACAGTTGTCCCACTCAGCCTATTTCAAGCAGATGTTCTTGGGACATTATATTTTTTGCACGCTGTTGCTATTGGAAGGTTGTCCTCTCTAATAGATCTCAGCGCATCCTGCATGGCACTCTCAGGATATTGAAATTATTTTCTCGAAATCATGGTCTGGAAAGGTAGATTAATAGATACATTATTTTACATTTTTCGTGCTTTTTTATTTCGTATAGTTTAAGATTTTCTATCTTGTTCTAATGTGTGGCCACAACAAATGATTTGAGTTCCAAGTGTGATCATCAAGTGGCCTAAGTCGGCATAACGGGTAAATACACGTAGGGGAGAGCGGGTCACAGTGGCCACTTTTTTGGATTTTATTTTTTTTCTCTTCTATGAGCGCCTTCATTGATATGTAGTTTACAGGATTATAATAGAGTTTTTGGTACTTATAAATAATTTATTTAAAAAAAAGCTTTTTAGCCACTGTACCCCACACGCGGGGTACAGTGGCTACATACATGGGACACAGTGGTCATCCAACTAGAATAATAAGGAGAAGAATGAAACAAGTCGGAATTACACCACGTTATAGCCACTAAGGTCAATACCAAATCTATAAGTGGTTTGCAATCTAGAGGTACCTCCAGAATTTAAAGGTGGTGGAAGAACGGCAACAATATCACCAATTGGTACTACTGCATCATCTTCCGTATTAATATTTTCCACTATCCCAACAAAATATTTTATGGTTTTTTTTGTTGCAAACTTGACTAAAACAAATGAATTAACCACAATATTTGCATAAAATTCTCTATAGAATTCTCTGATAATTCATCATTCGAATCATTTGATAAGTCCGACATCTCATTTTCACTCTCACTTGTGGATTCTATAAGTTCCATAATGGGTTTTTTCTTTTGTTTTCTATCACTCTTTTCCATATTTTTCTTTTGCTTTAAACTTTCCTGTCTCGATTTTTGCATGATTTCTTCTTCTAGCTTATTCATAACTGACGAGCTTGTCAAAACTTCTGTTCTCTTTTTCTTCCTCCCACCCCTTTTAGTTATACTCTCTTCTGTACTGGCTTTCGAATATGGGCGCAACATCTCTGGTGACACAAAATTGGAGGCTGGCATATTATTCTTTGATGGCGAATCTTTCCCCGGTATCACAGAAGAACACTTACTGGATGTACTGGTTGATGGTATGACTTGACCTAAAGGAGTTGTTGGACGTGGATTTTCTGTTTCTTTACTAGTTGATGTGGGCTGCTCACTTCCTAATCTATCTGTTACATCTGCTGTAAAATACTCATCGTCTCCGTACACATATTTATTTATTGGAAAAATAGCTGTGCTTTCAAATCCATAACAGTTCAGCACTCTCGTAAATTGTTATCCTTTTTCCAGGATTTATTGCAAGCCAGGATCTACAGGTCTCATTATAATAACGTTTTAGAGGACCATATACACATTTGTCAAGTGGCTGCAACTTATGGCTTGTATGAGGTGGTAGTGTAAAAAGAATAACGCCAGAATTCTTTGCTTAATGACTACCATTAGTGGACATCGTTAATTTTCGTATAAATGAGATAGAAAATAGATATAAACTATTTAAATAACGTTGTTAAACATTAAAAAATGTTTTCAAACCTATTTCAATGTTTGTTCCTAAAGCAAAAGTAAAAAACATGCTTAATACTTACCTCTTGTTTCTTAACCTAAATGACACAAAGTGCACCGTCATCTGGACACGTATGAAGTAAAATTTAGTATGATTTACTCAAGTTTAAACACGCACAGTATTAAAACGCCATCTATAGAATATACAAGAAACTTATAAGCTTCTCTGCTGAAATCTGGAATAGAAGCAGTAACCACAACCGGTGCATTTACCCTACTGTAGTTTTAAGTTTTATCCATCTTTTTTCTATCTGTTATATGCGTTAATAATTCCTTTTATGGTAGTTTGATTTTCTTGCATAGAATCTTGTATCTGTTATGACTAGTTTGTGGTGAGAATNAGAAGAAGAAAACATTAGCGTCTTCTCAAAGTCTGAAAACGAAGGTAAACTTCAATATTAAAACTTTTAGATTCCATCCCCGTTATTCTGACTATTGTTGTTGTTCTTTTCTACAACGCTTTTGTGACTTGATTAATTTGTCAGGTGTTCATGTCGCTTCCATGGCACAACACTAGTTCACCGATTTATTACCATCTTTGTAGGTTCTGGATGTATCGGAAAAGTCAGAATCTTTATTTTGAAAATATGCAAAATAGCCCTTACGATCAATATTTCGCGAATTTTTTCTGTAAAATTTTCATGAAAATAATCGGCGAGATCGTGCGATATTTCTTCCGGGTTGGAAAACTGTTGTCGTTCTACTGACACAGTTGTCGCTATTTGCGAAATCACCGAATTTGTTGCTCTTTCGTCATAGGGACGATCGCTTTCTGATTCAATATCTTTTCCAAAGTTGGTGGAAATTGTTGAAGAACATGAGGATTCAGAAATTCCCGCAATTTGTGAACGACACGATTCATCATGTGGAAGATTTTTGGTTTGGTTGTTACTTACAGAAGTTTCTCCAGTAGTAGTAGTAAAATATGATGTTAATTTTGGTAACATTTTAATTACTTCCTTCTGATGTGCAGCTTTTTTCCTTTTTTCAGATCCACTAGGATATGACCGTTTCGACATTTTATATTATAATTCACCAGGTATTTACTTTTACACCGAAAATAGTCGCTAACACAAAAAGAAACAAGCAAACGATTATTTAATTAAAGAATACCTCAAAACACAATCAATAACAACTACAAAAAAAACAAACGTCACAATACCACATACAAATACAGGGGAATTCCCGACCGCCGTGTCGGTTTATTTAAGTCGTTCGGTCACGTTCACTTTAAGTCGCTGTAGGGATCCTGCGAGTAGATCTTAGCGGTGTCTGATGTTAAACTAGAACCTCAGTTCGTTAATAATTAACAATCCGAAAAATTACTTTAACAAATATTTTATTAAATTTTATTTATAAAAAAAATACAACTAAGTAATAATTAAATATTGTTGCATTAGAGATTGCACTTAAGAGTATTTGATATCTGAAGGGGGCCCTGGGCACTTGCCCAAAGTGCCCACTGGGAATGAGGGGTCTGTCTATATACAGGATGTTCCATGTCAGACGAGCCACCCCGTATATTTATAATCCCATAGTGATTAGAAAAGTTTCCCGAAACCAGTCGAATGATTTTGTTTGGGGGACATCTTTTGACGTCATTTGAGGCTTGAACGAGCAACCCCCTAAGAGGGGGTGCTTCAACCCTTCAAAATTGAATAGGGGAGAGGGGTTGAGTGATACTTCATATGAAAGGTCTTGGAAGCCTCTTTACAACGATGTATGAAAAACGTAAATTTGATGAACCGTTTCCGCCAAAAATCAATTTTTTAGCTCAAATGAGCAACCTTGAATATTTTGGTTATAAATAAAAAAAATGAATTGTTTTATCATGTTGTTTTATTTATCACAATCAAAAAATCAAATCTGCGTTTTTAAATCAAATGTTCAAATTGTCCTTCATTGACTTCCATACAATAATACAATCTTGACTGAAAACCGTCTCTAACATGGTTCAGCATAATTGGAGTTATGTGACACTCATTTACAATCCGTTGGCGTAGTTCGTCCAAATTTTCAGGCTGAGTCACAAAAATCTTGGACTTAAGATGTCCCCACAAGAAGAAGTCCAGAGGGTTCAGGTCAGGAGAACGGGCAGGTCACTCTATAGGACCTCTTCTTCCAATCCAACGACCGGGGTATTGCAAATTAAGGTAGTGGCGAACTGGTGCGGCGTAGTGAGGAGGAGCTCCGTCTTGTTGGAATTGCAATTGCTGTTCAAGTAGTAGAGGATCGTTTTCTAATTTTTCTGTTATTAACAGAACAATCACATTTTCCAGCATTTCAAGATAAATTTCGCCATTTAAATTACCAGGAATAAACAGAGGTTCAATTATGTGGTCTCCTACCCAAACGTTTAGCTTTTCCGGATGTTGAGTGTGAGCTTTTCGAAATATATGAGGATTTGTATCGCTCCAAATTCTACAGTTATGCCGGTTAACCTCTCCATTAAGTGAAAAAGTGCATTCGTCTGCAAAGCAACCGTTGTACAAGAAATTTAGGTTATTGTTGATACGTTCGGCCATAATTTCGCAACACTCTTCCCTTCGATCCAAATCATCATCCTTTAATTCGTGAATTAACTTAATTTTGTACGGATGGAACTTGTGTTTATGTAAAATTCTGAAAACGTTAGATTGGCTAATACCGGAAGCTGCAGAAAGTTGTCGTACAGATTGCGTGTTTGGCATAAGTTGGACATGTCCCAAGACCGCCACCGCTGCTCCTTCATCATTCACAATTCCAATGGGTGCCCTTTTTTTATCCATTACTGAACCCGTCTCAACAAATTTTGGTTGGGTGGTTTTGGTTAAATGTCCTTGCAGTCGCTCGGGCACAATTTTGATTTTGGTAATAGAGGCTAACCAGCTCAACACGTTCTTGCAATGTGTACACCATAATTACTTTTAAAATTTTAAACAAACCAGCAAAGTAATAACTCAACAGATTGATTTAAACGTATTATAACCAGATAAACACCTTCTAAGAACAAACAATGAAGGCAACATATGGAAATGTTTTGATTTTTTTTTTATTTTTTAGTTTGAGAGAATTTATTATTGCATGGAAGTCAATGGAGGACAATTTGAACATTTGATTTAAAAACGCAGATTTGATTTTTTTATTGTGATAAATAAAACAACAATTATTTTATGTCAATTTTTTTATTTATAACCAAAATATTCAAGGTTGCTCATTTGAGCTAAAAAATTGGTTTTTGGCGGAAACGGTTCATCAAATTTATGTTTTTCATACACCGTTGTAAAGAGGCTTCCAAGACCTTTCAAATGAAGTATCACTCAACCCGTCTCCCCTATTCAATTTTGAGGGGTTGAAGTACCCCCTCTTAGGGGGTTGCTCGTTCAAGCCTCAAATGACGTCAAAAGATATCCCCCAAACAAAATCATTCGACGGGTTTCGGGAAACTTTTCTAATCACTATGGGATAAGAACTATGCGGGGTGGCTCGTCTGAGATGGCACACCTGTATAGTATGTTATATGCGTTAATAATTCCTTTTCTGGTAGTTTGATTTTCTTGCATAGAATCTTGTATCTGTTATGACTAGTTTGTGGTGAGAACCTATTTCCGCTCATCTTATAACTTTTATACCTAATATAGCATATTCAGTTTCTGGGGTGTAGGTAATCTTGCAGAAATCAATGATTCTTTTGCCATTGTCTCTTGTAATCCTGTCGCTACAGAAATTCCCCAATACTCCATTTCCTCTTCTCGGGTCATTCCTTGCTCTGTTTAAGAAATGAATGAAAACAATTAAAATGTTGAGCATCCTTTATTTCAAAAAAGAGCAACATTACAGTTATAGGTACTCATTTTGGTGTGTTGGAACAATATTAACTTGACCGGAGGATAGACAACCAACTACACAAGTTAACCTCCTTCATTCTTGACAACACATTAATTTTTACGAAACCTTCACGTGCGCTTCAAAATACATTTATTTCCTTTACATCCATTTATTTATTATAATTTAGAATGGGAAAGACTATCGGCGAATACCAAGAAGAAATAGTTGAGGCTGTAAGTAAAAAAAAACTAATGTTTTCTAGGTTTCATAAAATACAATTTTAGGAGAAACAACTACAACTGTTAAAAGACCAATTTGTTTTATTACAACGAGCTGTTGTCGAACAACGACCTGCACCTAATGCATCAAAAGAAATCCTTGACTTAACCAGTGAGAACATAAAGCTACAACACAGATTAAACATTTTAAATCGTGTAAGATCTAATAATTTATTCTTGTAAGGTATAGTACAATTTTTTTTTGATAGGCTATAGCTGAGGAATCTAATAAATCACCTCAATTAAGCAACAAAATGGAGAGTTTACAAGACAATTTAAATGATATCTTTTCAACTGCAATTACATCAGCTTTTCCTGATTTAGTTGATCCCCCTATAGTAATTGCTTTAGCTAATAAATTTGGGGACTATCAATGTAACTCTGCTATGCCAATTGCAAATTTATATAAACAAATGGGGAAGAAATTATCCCCCAGAGATATTGCCAATAAAATTGTCGAAAAACTTCCATCCTCACCAATCATTGAAAGAGTTGAAATTGCTGGAGCAGGTTTTCTAAATATTTTCATCAATAAATCGTTTGGGGTTAACACATTATCAACAATTTTTGAAAAGGGGGTTCAACCACCTAATATAGACAAAAAATGTCGCGTCCTCGTCGATTTTTCATCTCCAAATATCGCCAAAGAAATGCACGTGGGTCATTTAAGATCAACAATTATTGGGGAAAGCATATGTCGCCTATTAGAATTTTTAGGACACGACGTTTTACGTATTAATCACGTTGGTGATTGGGGTACTCAATTTGGAATGCTGATTGCTCATCTTAAAGATAAATTCCCCGATTACTTAACCAAATCACCACCAATTAGCGATTTACAAGCTTTTTATAAAGAATCAAAAGCGCGATTCGATCAAGACCCTGAATTTAAAAAGCAAGCGTATGCTTGTGTTGTTAAACTTCAATCTTTTGAACCGGATTACCACAAAGCTTGGGAATTAATTTGTAATGTGTCCCGACAAGAATTTCAAAAAATTTACGATCGTTTAGAAATAAAAATCACAGAACGTGGTGAATCATTTTATCAAAAACGCATGGAAGACATCGTTAAAGAATTAAACGATAATGGATATTTAGAAGAAGATGATGGTCGCAAAATAATGTGGGGAGAACAAAACGTTGGGATTCCTTTAACGATTTGCAAATCCGACGGGGGTTTCACCTATGACACATCGGATATGGCAGCAATAAAACAACGTTTACATGAAGATAAATGCGATTGGATCGCTTATGTAACCGATGCGGGTCAAGCAACTCATTTTGAAACAATTTTTAAATGCGCTCGCCGTGCTGGTATTTTAAAATCACATCATAGAGTCGATCATGTAGGATTCGGTGTCGTTTTGGGTGAAGATAAAAAGAAGTTTAAAACTCGATCGGGTGATACAGTACGATTAATCGATTTATTAGATGAAGGTTTAAAACGTGCTTTGGATAAATTACAAGAGAAAGGTCGCCACGAAATTTTAACACCCGAAGAATTGAAAGCTGCTCAAGAATCTGTTGCTTATGGTTGCATAAAGTATGCAGATTTGTGTCATAATCGCAATCACGAATACGTTTTTTCTTTTGATAAAATGTTAGAAGATAAAGGAAATACCGCTGTCTATTTATTATATGCTTACACAAGAATTCGATCTATAGCTAGAAACGCTAATTATTCGCCAGAAAAGATTAAAGAGATTTCAAAAACTTGTCAAATTTCGGTTGATCACGAAAAAGAATGGAAATTGGTTAAGGTTTTGTTACGTTTTCCGGATGTTTTGATTAAGATTACTAAAGATTTATGTTTACATCATTTGTGTGAATTTATCTACGAAATTTCTTCAACGTTTACCGAATTTTATGATTCGTGTTATTGCGTAGAAAAAGATTCTTCGGGGGATATTGTTAAAGTTAATGACGGGCGGATGTTGTTAACAGAAGCTACAGCTCTTATTATGGCACAATGTTTTGATATATTGGGACTTAAACCTGTTTCAAAGATGTAAATAAGTTTAAACGTTGTGTAAATTAAAGACTTTTTAATTGACTTGGTTTCCTTTTTTTAATTAATCCTAAAATAACTAGACCCAATTTTTGGTAATTTATACAAATAAAATCAAAAGTATATGATAATTTGGATTTTCCTACATAACTTTATGAAAGTAGACCATTTTTGCACCATAGTTTTTGCAATGCATTTCAAATGACATAGACTTGTGTAGAAGAATCCGTTTCAACTGTGAGTTATTAAAAAATTATTTTTATTAAAATACGAAAATACGCTATAAAGCGATGTAACAAAAATAAATCATAACTCAAGAAATATCAACATAACAATCGTGAACGGCAATCAGCCATGTTGAGCTACCTACATCGAACTAATTGAACTTGGTTGGGTAACCCATCCTGTTGATCACAGGATGGACTGATATAATAGACTGGTCGATCTTCACCCACTTCGCATGCAGCTGTTGGAGCTTTTCGTCAGCGGAAGTGGTCCAAATGCCCGTCAACTTGTGTCAAAGAGTGTCTCACAGTGGTTTGAAGATGTTGAGATCCGGGCTCTGGCTGCACCAGTCCATTACCGCCACTCAACGCTGCTTGATCCAGTTGGACATTCCTGGATGTGTGCTTGGGATCATTGTCTTGCTGAAACGGTCAACACTGACCCATGCTTTTGCGTGGCCAGGGAAACATGTCATCTTGCAGACAGTCCCTGTACTTCTGGCAGGCCATGGTGCTCGTAATGCGAACCAGAGGGCCGGTGATAGCAGCGCTGAAGCACCCCCACACCATGACGGAACCACCGACATGCTTCATCGTGGGAAGCAGGTACTTGTTGATATGCCATCAGTTTCGAATAGCAAGAACTTGCTCTCGTCGCTCCACAGGGACGTTCTCCTATTGCTGCCGGGTGCAGTTGTGCTGTTCTTAGTTGAAACGAATGGTTTCTTTACCGGACATCGACCAATGAGTCCTGCATCCTTCAGCCTCCTCTTGACCGTCGATGTAGACGGTTGGCGCTGCGCAGAACACCACAATTCTCCCCCAATGTCCACCGTCGTGAGCCGTGTGTTAGCTCTGCACAGCATCGCGCCGTTCCTATCCTCCAGCCGGGTGGTAATTTGAGGTCTATCATTTTAGTTTCTTCGTCATGAAGCAACCAAGTGTCCTCCACGTCTTCAATTCTGATGATATCTGCGTGGTGAGCTGCATCTGTGTGCATCCTTGTCGAGCACCCTATATGATGGCCTTCAGGGTCGATTCCGACAAATCTCGAACTGCTTTCATTTTATTCATTCTTAAGAATAATATTTTATAACTTTTAGAAAATATCACGTGAAAATAACGCGAAACAAAAAATTAAAATAAAAGTTATTTCTAGGCCTGACATCTATTTTCAAAAGAAATTTGTCACGCCTCTATGCTTTGGCATATATTGTATCCTCTGGAATATAATATAATTATATTCACTGTGAAGATTCGTCAAGTATTAGAAAAGTTATGTAGGAAAAACCAAATTATCATATACTCCTGAGCGGTACTGTAGATTTTTATTTTTATTGGTGTATTTGTGGGTCATTCTCAGAAGGGCTAAAAAAGAGTCCCTCTAATATCAACTCTTATAAACTGAGATAATTACATTCATTCGAGCAAAAAGCTATGTGGTGAGACTCTATGTGGTAATGAATTCCATAACCTAACTACAAATTGATATTTGTCACTAATAGAATAAGTCATGTTTTGAACAAAAATTGCTTTTTCAATGGAATTAGTTAAAATTTTGTACTTAACACATCATGAAACGGCTAATTTTGTTTAATTCACGTATTTTGCAAACAACTATTACGTTCGTTAAACAAAATTAGTCTTTTCATAACTAGTTACGTAAATAACTATTATTACTGTTTTTTTTTATTTGGGGTAATTAACAAATACATTTGAGGGTTGGTTTGCAATTTCTTATAGATTTTGGTTTTAAATTAATCTGGAAAATGTTGTGTCCCTCGTTTTAATATCAACTCCGTTACCACATCTTCTAATATAAATATTCGTGTCGACATGATTATTCGTGTTGATATTAGTACGTCACTATAAGTGTCAAAAAATATAAAATTGACACGCTGAATATATTCAAGATTTTAATTGATTTCTACAAATATTTTTCTGACCATTCGGATTCTCAACTCCGTTACCTGTCAGATTCTGCATATTCATTACTGGATTTGTTAATCACACTAATGGATTGTAGTGTTGAGGATCTTAAGGATAAATTTTTTAAGTATTCCTCACGTTCCATAATCTCTATTGACAGCTTCAGTTTTTTGTTGCTTTAAACTTGTTCAGATTCGTCTTCTAAAGAAGTTTTATTTGTAGGAAGCTTTTTTGGTAAAATCTTCTTTGGAGTGGCATTTTTAAAAGACTTCACAGGACCAGAAATTATCTCAGTGATTTCAACAGTAGATTCCTTCTCATTATTTGACAATACTTCATCCCACGACTCCTTTATAGGAATTGTCACATGCTATATTATCTATTTTCGTAAATTTGTATTCAGAACTTTGCTTTCAGTTTGCAGTTCTTGTTATCAATTTTTTTCTGAAATTTATAAATAACTGCTTGAATTTTTTATTAACGATAAAGATCAAGTATAATATTAATTTAACTTTAATTATTTCTTAAAATTTAAACCAATTTAGTTCTTTTTAGCTCTTGATACTCTAACATTAAAGTGTTGGTAGTTCTAGTGTTAAGTAAATTAGTAAAAAATATACGAACACGGTATGCAACTATCGTCGTAAAATCAAATTCAGTTTAATTTTAAATATTTTTGAAAGCGCATTTTCTCAACTCCGTTACTAATGTTAGGCAGTAGCATTTACAGCCACATTTAACAGTTATGATGCATTATGTACTGTAAATATTTTATTTTCAATGTATCTAATATTTAGTTAAGCTAAAGAAAAATAATACAGTGCTCAAATGTGATAAATTCCAAATTTATATGCACCATGTTTCTCTTGCTTTAGACGAGATCTAATTTTGAGTATAATTTCGATTTTACATTTTATTATTCTTTTGTGCTAAATGATGAAAACTAGAGGTAAGGCCCTAAGTGAGACTGCGGTTACAACTTATACTTACAAAATTATATTAACGTATAAAAAACGTGCAACTCAGAAGCCTCGTAAATCGGACATAGAAAATACTATAAGTAAATAGCGCCCATTGAATAATATTTCTATAAGAAAAACAATTCGTACATATTTAGAAAAAAACGAAAACAGCAAACTCTGTCCTGGGAAAAGGACACGATAACATACACGAAAAACAAAAACGCTATTGAGCTTTTTAAACACTCTGTATATTGCATCTAATATCTTTGAATACTATCATCTACCTACTGGCTTTGCCTATTGTCTGACGTAGTTTCAAGGCAAAATGGGAAAAAATGTCGTTTTTACATCGTTTTTAAAAAGATCCTGTAATGGGCATATTTTGGAAGAACAATTGAATATCTCAGGAACTATGAACGCTGTGAAATAGTAACATATACGGTTGTATAAACAAATTTAGTTGTATTCATAATATGATAAACTATACAGGATATTACATTTAAATAAATGTATGTACTTTCCGTTACGCTTAAATGGAACACAGTAATACAGTAAACCCTCTATTTTCGACCGCCCTAAAAAAGCGGTCACCTCTAGAAACGGCCAATTTTCAAATTCCTGGAACAATAAACTTTGTTTTGTATGGAGGTTATATGACAGGTTACTCTACAGTTAGTCTATGTGTATCAACATGTCGCTAAAAAGAAAACGTTTATCTCTTAAAGACAAAATTAATATTATTGTAAGTAGGCTGAAAAATTTGGAGTTGGAAGGCCACAAGTGAACGACATTTTAAAAAATACATCCCACTTTAAAAAGCTGTTCCATGTGAAAATTCCAATCTAGAGCAAAAGAGAAAATTTACTAAAACCGAAGGACTGACTATTGACCAAATAGTTTACAACTGGTTCTGTAAAGCGAAACATCACCATATTTGGACCTTTATTAAAAGAAGAAGTAGCCTAAAATTTGAAAATTTTCAGTTTTAAAGCTTCAAATGGATCACTTGAAAAATTTAGTCGAAGACATGAAGACGTGAATAAGCTTTACAACCGTTTCCGGTGAATCGGTGTTGAAGCCTGGAAAACAAAGTTAAAATTGATATTGAAGAACTACTTACCAAAAGATGTGTACAATGCTGACGAAACTGGACTGTTTTATCTTGTAATGCTGAACAAAACGTTTGCTTTCAAAGGCGATAATGTACGAGTAAAAAAACCCGAAACAGAGATTGACAATTTTATTTTGCGCAAGCATGGAAGGAGACAAGGAAGATCCGTCAATCATCGGGAAAAGTAAAAACCCTCGTTGCTTTAAAGGATCGCACATCAACAAACTTCCTTTAAAATGGGAGTGTAATACAAAGGCGTGGATGACAACAGAGATTATGACTTCGTCACTAAAACAATTTGATGAAAAAATGAGAAAACAAATTAGAAAAGTACTCTTATTTCTGGATAACGCCACGTCCCATCCCAAACTTGCATTAGCATATGTAAAAATAGTGTTTCTACCTCCAAACAGTACCTCACATTGCCAGCCATTAGATCAACGGGTCATCAATAGCTTTAAGGTAACTTACAGAAAATCCTTAATTAAAAGGCTTTTAACATTTACAAACAACGAAAGTTGCAGAAAAAAGTATCAATTTGACCAGTGCCTTAGTTTGGACAATAGCAGATTGGAAAAATGTTTCCCCAACAACCATTTCAAAATGCTTTGCAAAAGCCGGATTTTTCGAGAATCTTGAACAAGAAAGCGATTTGAGGAAAAGGATGAAATTCCACTGACTCAGCTTTTTTCAGGTTTAAAAAATATGCCAAACATAAATTATTAACTGAAAATCCCAACATAGACATCTAAGAAATAATCAACGAATTAAGTGACGATAAAGGCAATGATTCAAACCTGAAAGTTGTACGTTAAATATTAAGAACATGGCTGAAGTATGTGGAAAACTAAGGGATGTACAAAGTTTTTTATTTTGTAACAACAAAGGTGAACTAGCTGTAGAAGTTATTAACATTTTAGCAAAATGTGAATCTCAGGTGTTACTAACGAAAATTCAAATCTTAAAACAATCCTGTAAAACACCTCTCTTTAACTTCCATTTTTCCAATAAATTTTTGTGGCCGCTATTAAGAGGTTTTACTGTAGAAAGTCATGAGTCAAGCAACTTTTGCATAAAACATTTTTTTGTTTTTCAAACGGTTTAGTAACTATCGACCGCCGGGATACTAATAACTCAGCCTGTATACCTTTTTGTATTGTGGCCAAGGTAAATTATTGTTGCGTGTTTTCTCTGAGCATATCTGTTTTTTCTAAGTTTGTACAACGTTACATACAACGTTTTCCGCATAAAATGCATTCCGAAATTTGTAGACATGGAAAAATGTCAGCATACATTCCTTACTGCATCCTGTAAGTTGTTTAATCACCTTATAGCTCGCCAGTGTAGTTCGAAAACGTTACTACTAATACTGGCATCGTCCCAAGCACGTAAGTGTAAGTAATACCAACTAGGGAAAAATACGATACGCACATAACATCTTGTAATACATTCTCACTCAGATCATAAATGTTACCACTAATGGTGTAGTTGTCAATCACGCGACAGCAACGGCTTGATTTCCCAAACAACACAAAAATCTTACAACTCGTTATATTCATATGTATAGGCATTTGCGAAAGCTTTAAACCAATATTGTAGCGATTAAAATTTGTTTGCGGTTATGCCGCTTCAACTGTTGAATACAGGTTTAAAAATCCTGTTCAACGGTGTACTTAAGTAAAAAATGACCATTTTGGCGATTATGCCGTTTTGGCTTGGCAGAAATGACTGCAATCTTATGTAATGTCAATTGTGCAACAGTAATCGCTTTCGTATTTTTTTTATACTCGATATCAGTTTATAATATGTCATCATATAATGTCTTCATTCACGATGCAGAAATGGAAGAAGAAGAGCATTCTACAAGATATTTTCTTAAGCAAAAAGAAAACCAGTTTCGACACTTTTTCGGATTAACATCAATCAGATCAATTTTTTATTAGCTTTTATTGAGAATGACCTGAAAACATAATCATATGCACTAGTTACAAACCCAATAAGTTTAAAGGATTAAGTTTGGAATAGGTACTGTAAACGTGAGATGTCTTGGTATTGGTTTTGAAAGAACAGCCGGATTCCATAGAGGTAGTGGTAGACGCAGTACATCACGGCCGCTGCAGTTCCATCAATTCCAATTCAGCAGCTACAAATCTTACAAATATTTATTTTTGTTTTTATTTGGAAGATAAATGAGAGCTGCTTATCCAATACCACCATACTTTTAAAAAAAGTGTCGATAGAATGTTCTTCGAATTTTTTATGTGTTTTGATAGCGTTGATCAAATCGATACATTTGATCTTATGGTACTATTACGCTCAATAATGCAAAAAATTTTGATTGTAGTCTTCTTGTCGCATTGGGCAATTTAATTGTGACATACTTGCTGCTCATTTATGAGCTTTTACATTTAATCCAGATATACGTTCATCATCTGATGATGGGTTTACCTCCAATGGAGTTCCTTCTTGATTTTGGGCATATTCCGACAGCTCATTGTCACCATCAATTTTATGCGTAGTAATGATTGTTTTTTTTATTTTGATCTTTCTAATCCTTATTCTTTGAAGTATATAACCAATATATGCGTGCTTTTCTCAAGCTGTCGCAGCGTCTTGCGAATTTTGCTGCATCTGGTACTTCTTGGCGAGAAGTTATCTTAATATATAAAAGCAAATCAATTTCATCTGCCCCATTTGATATAGCTGTACATTTGATTAGCTCGTGGTAATGAAGAATATGGTTGGCATCAAAATTCACAAGGAACTTGCAAAATTGATAAATGACGGTTAAGTGAATCATGATGATGATATTAAAGCTAGTTCTACGTGATGCAACCACGCAGAATTTTAAGCAAACTGACTACCCACTCTTATAAGAATCAAGAGAAGTTTACTGGACATGGATGGGTTATTCTTTGATGTTGAAGTTGTAGTAACTACTTGATTTAGCACTTTCTACGTGGCAGTTGCACACAAATATACACAAATTGCTCTATCTGATCCTATACGAGTTATAAATGATTATTTACTAGGTTTGTAAAGACAGGAGTTGCTCAGGGAGGAATAATAACCCCCATCCTATTCAATATTTATATGTATATAATAAAAGTAGTTCACTAAATAATCTATTTATCTTATCTTAATGAGAACTACTGTGAAGTAATAACTTTTACTCTTGCAAAGCCCTAAAGAAATAGCATTAGATTCTTTATCCTTTTACCAACTTCGATGTAGTACCTCTTATTGAATTTCTCGAAAATTTAAAAACCTGTTCCAGTTCTGTGAAAACATCGTTTAACAAGAAACATGCTACAAGACCAAGTTTTAAGAGAACTTTAGTTGGAGGTATTTTAATTAAATTGCTTTAACTATAATCATATGTAACATTGAGTTAATAAAACTCCATTAGTATTTATCATTCCTTATATTTCTTTTATACACAAATTTATGTTAAAGATTAAACATTTAATTAATTTTTTTTTAATATTTCAAATCTGCCGCTTTAATACGTAAATCTACCGTAGTAATGAAATCGATCTGGCAGCACTGTTGACAAGTGAAATAATTTTGATTTTATTAAAATAAATATTACGATAATTATGATTATGTGAACATTACGTAATGTTTGTTGATTTAAATTGTTTTAATTAACAAAGAGAATAAACTAAAAATAAATAAATAAAATTAATTGTTATTGATTGAGTAAATGAAATGGATAAAAAGAGATGGCACCACGCGAAATGCTCCAAACAAGATCGTTTATTATAAAAAAAATTATAAATCTTTATTTTTATTATTATGTTAAAACCCGATTAATAATTAATGAATTATTAATAAAAAGATTTTTATAAAAGGTTTTTAAATTCATGTAAAAAGTGATTATAATTATATAGTATATAGATGGCGCCACTTTGATCTTTTTGTTATGACATGACAACTTATGACAACTCAAGGTTTATATATTAAAGGTTGTCTAAGTTCCTATGCTGCAATACTTTGATTTTAGTTTGTGGGCGAGGGGCAAGAGCAGGAATGTTTCGTGACGTAAGCGATCACGGATTGCGCACGCAACCTCATGGCCATGTGGTGCTTCATGCATTTGTTTAATTTGAATTGTTTGGCGGTATTATTTTCCACATGTGACGTAATGCGCAGTATGGTTGCGTATGAACCTAGACAACCTTTTATATATAAACCTTGATGACAACTCCGACATCGCTTTGATTTTATTAAATACAACATTTTAAGTAACTAATGATTATAAAAACAATTACAAATGTATATTAAAAGATTTTTAATCAAAAGAAAAAGTAAAATAAAAGTAAATAATTTAAATAATTGGTTATCAATTGAGTAAATGAAATGGATAACTAGAGGTAAAAATAAGAGATGGCACAACTGGAAACAATCAAAACAAGATTGTTAAAAAAATGTAAATATTTATTTTATTATTATTATACTAAAAATCGATTAATGATTACTAAGTCAATCTAAATATGTTGATATTAATGAATAAAAAAAAGATTTTTATAAAAGCTTTTTAAATCATGTAAAAAGTTATTGACATATACGTATATAGATGGCGCCACTTTGATGTTTTGCTTTGACAACTCCAACATCTTGATTTTATTAAACGCAATATTTTAAGAATGTAATGGTTATAGAAATAATTAAAAATGTTTGTAGTGTTGATTAAAAGTTTTTCAATGAAAAGGAGGAATGAAATAAAGGTAAATAATTAAAATAAATGGTTATCGATTGAGTAAATGTAAAGAATAAAAAGGGGCTAGAGCGAAAATAAGAGATGGCGCCGTAGTAAAGGAATCGTTCAAACAAAAATCGTTCGTTGTCAAAAAGTTATGAATATTTATTTTATTATTGTTATATTAAAAACCGATTAATGATTACTAAATCTATCTAAATATGTAGATATTAATTAATAAAAAAATTTGTATAACAACTTCTTAAATTATATAATAAATGTATAGATGGCGCCACTTTGATGATCTTGTTTTGACAAATACATTTCCTTGATTTTTTTAAACTCTACAGTTTAAGAATGTAATTGTTACAGAAATAATTAAAAATGTTTGTAGTGCTGATTAAAAGTTTTTCAATGAAAAGGAAGAATAAAATAAAAGTAAATAATTAAAATAAGTGGTTATCGATTGAGGAAATGAAAGGGATAGAAAGGGGTTAGAGCGAAAATAAGAGATGGCGCTATAGTAGAGAAATCGTTCAAACAAAAATCGTTCGTTATCAAAAACTTATGTATATTTATTTTGTTATTATTATATTAAAAACCCATTAATCGTCACTAAATCTATCTAAATATGTTGATATTAATTAATAAAAGACATTTTTATAACAACTTTTTAATAAATTCATGTAAAAAGTGATTGACGTATAAGTGGGTAGATGGCGCCACTTTGTTGTTTTTGTTTTGACAACTCCGACATTTCCTTGATTTTATTAAACTAAGATTTTAAGAATGTAATTGTTATACAAATAATTGAAAATGTTTGTAGTGTTGATTAAAAGATTTTCAATGAAAAGGAAGAATAAAATAAAAGTAAATAATTAAAATAAGTGGTTATCGATTGAGTAAATGAAAAGGCTAAAAAGGGGTTAGAGCGAAAATAAGAGATGGCGCCATAGTAGAGAAATCGTTCAAACAACAATCGTTCGTTGTCAAAAAGTTATGAATTTTTATTATCGATCACTCGGCAAAGCGGTTGGCCGGGGGTGTAACGGGGGCCGCGAAACGTTTCGTCTGATCGTTCTCGCGGGTGATTCTGAACGGTGGCAACAAGCCCCGAGTGTTAGGGGCCTCGTTTCAAAGTTTCTGTTTGGCGCCTCGCGCGGCAGCATAACGTCCGTGCCGGCCGCCATGTTGTAATACTGGTGTTGTCAGGCATCATGGGTTAACACGGGTAAAGTACGTAGCGGGCATTTTTACGTGTGCATAGGTGTTTTTTGGGTCGGTGTCGACGCGTTTTCGCGCTCAGGTTGTCGTCCGTACCGGGGCCCGTTCCGTTGAGCAGAGTTTGCGGGCCGCGGGTGCCGCGTTCCTGCGCATTTATACCTACGATCGGTCGGTCCGTTCGTCCGAGTGAGTGCAACGTCTTGCTAACGCAGGGAGTCGTCTACTGACCGCGAGGTCCCGAGCATCATCCCCAGTGTGCGGGAGGTGAACAATAACGACGTCGCCGGGGTCGTCCCGATGTCCTCGTACTGCGTCAATGTTTTCCAGTGACACGTGCAGTGTGGGAGATACACCTGGGGGTTTTGAGCTACTATGGCCAAAATTCTTGGTAAGGATCCCGTTACATACGCCAAGGAACGGGACGGTTTCCTCAGGGAGCTGCACCACTTCCATGAGAGTCGGGGGTAAGCAAAAAACAATCTCTCTTTCACCTATAATCTTATTACAAGCTTAATATTACGGTACGGTGCTCTTTTATAGGACTCCATTTCGTCGGGCGCCCATTTTAAGCGGCCACGAGATCGACTTGTACCTCCTCTACTCCCTCGTCACCGAACAAGGAGGATGGATCAAGGTAATTTTCATCTTCTCATCCTTATAACACCATTTTCCTTTTTTCTGTTTTTTAATTTTTTTTAGTCTAACAATTTTACATTATAACAATCTGCCGACCTTGGTATGGTCGGTAACTCGATATACCCGTACATAATTGAGGCGGTTTCCTTTAAAAATTCCGCGCTCCGTTATTATTCATTTACCAAAATATTAAGGCCTACTAAACTAAAGAAGTGGTGTTTTGGCGCGCGCGTTTCGAAAAACGTCCCGTACGAGACTGCGGAAGGTGCGAGAGACACACACGGCAAGGTCAGGGTTGAGTCTCTTTATCAGAGTGGCCCCGCCTCCGTCGTCAGTCGGTGTGCGATGAGACGCCGCTCCACGTGCTCTGCGAGATTATTTGGCTCGAGAGAAACGAGTGTATCGTTCACTCGATACTGCTCGGACAGTTATTTCCTTCCTCCTGCTGATCTCATACACTTTCTCCTGCTTGTACTATGTACTATATTACTTGTCAGCAACGTTCCGTCGATTGGTGAAATTCGAATCAGACTCTCACACCTGTAAGAGTAAGAAGAGAACATTTTTATTCAAAAACAATTTTTACCGTAACTAAACCATTTCGTTTAGGGTTTGAGTTACAATAGAAACCCATAACCACTTTTATCCACATTTATCTTGACGATGTCATTGTTACAAATGTGGTTTCCGGTGAACATTGGAACGCAGAAAATATTCAAAAAACGAGCTGGATACTTCAAATTAGTTTATGTCAGGTATGAAATGTTTGAAATAAAAAAATAACTGATTGTGTTGATGATTACAACGAAGTAACAAAGTGCTGTGAGTTTGTCGAAGATATAAACAAGAAATTTGGGAGCAACAAAATTGAAACAACATCAAAATCATTCGAATCTTTCAACAGTGTATAACTGGCATATCCGAATCCGTCAGCACACTTTGACAGTTTTCACCATCAAGTCCACTGCTGAATTTAAAGCCCATTTAGCAAAACTTATTTCGTGATGAGTTGTTCGAATGTTGCAGAACGATATCTGCGTTAGCCGAGCAGAAAGACATCGACGAACTCCTCCCTTATTGTCTTGGAATAGCTGATTAAGTGCTTCGTTAGAACGGACTTCGAATATAACGGACAAAACATTCTTAACACTCCAATAGTCGCGTGTCATCAAAAAGATGACGTAGACGTTTCCCTGGACTAACTACTGCAATTTGGAACCTGTACGGTTCCCATTTTTGTCGCTATTTATTAAATATAATGACTGTTATTAAAATATAAATACGTTTTATGAGTTTTTAAACTAGTTTTATTAAAATCACCGCTCTCCTATTTAATACTTTTACATGCATTGAAAAGTCATCTAAGAGATGACGTGTGACCACTCTTGTAGCAACAGGAGGCGCGACTACTGGAGTGTTAAGTCGTACTATTAATATTATTTATTTAATACATGACTATATTTAAATATAAATATTAGCGCTCATACATAGAATCCAATTCTGGTTATTCGTCAAGTTGCTCTATTCCATGCTCATTGATAAACTCGGGGTATTCCCTGAGTTGTCTATGCGATGTATAAATCAAGGACTAAGGACTAAGTTCGGGTTTAGCTGTACGTCTCTTAAGACGGCTAAACGTGAATGTTTCGAGGTCTAGTGTTAGTGTTAGTTCTAGTTTTAGTTGTTATATAGCGTTAGATCGTTGTATATGCTTTATTGATCTAAAACTAGAATTAACACTAGAACTAGAAACATTCGGATTTAGCCGTATTTACAGACGCTCGGTTAAACCCGAATGTTTCTAGGTCTAGTTAGAGTTGCCATCCCTAGTGATTTTCATTACCCATAATTAATCAATTATTAAGGTTTCTTTATGCATCCTAACACACTCTGTAGTACTTGGTAGATGATGTATAACATCTTTAAAAAACATTCGATATAAGAATCCTCATTACTTTATACCAATTGAAAACATATACAGGTACCCATTATGTATGGAATATAGTATATATCTTGGTAGGTATCAACATTTTATACAAAAGTTGTGTAATATTTTATTGCCATAATAAGACAGCATTCAATTGTTTTTATTTCAGAAAACAAATGAGTAACGAATAACACTTGAATTTTTTTAAATGGCAATGTACCCTTTCGTTCGGCTCATTTGATAGAGATTTTTTTCTCTTTACTAATGCTTTTCCATCAAGCTGTCTCTTCAGTGAAATTAAAATTTTGTCGATGTTCACGCACTTGTCCGAAATATTAACCACATACAACGAAGAAATATGGTATTTCACTGATATTATGTGATTATTGTATATTTTTATTGAACTACAAGTAGAACTAATACTTGACCTACAACTAGAAACGTTCGGGTTTAGCCGTACGTTTTTTAAGACGGCTAAACGCGAATGTTTCTAGTTCTAGGTCTAGTGTTAGTTTTAGTTGTTATATAGCGTTAGACTGTATATGTTTTATTGATCTAAAACTAGAACTAACACTAGAACTAGAAACATTCGGATTTGGCCGTATTTACAGACGCTCGATTAAACCCGAATGGTTCTAGGTCTAGTCAGAGTTGCTATCCCTAGTGATTTTCATTACCCATAATTAATCAATTATTAAGGTTTCTTTATGCATCCTAACACACTCTGTAGTACTTGTTAGATGGTGTATAACATCTTTAAAAAACATTCGATATAAGAATCCTCATTACTTTATGACAATTGAAAACATATATTTAGTTGCCATTGTTAATGCATCTTTCAAAAATAATAGACTAATAACGAATTAGCTCCAGAAGTAATTCTTCTGGAGCTAATTCAGTTTTCGTAAAAAATGTTTAGAATTTCCTTTTCCTTTAGAAAAATTTAAATCTGAGGAGATTTCCAAAAAACATGATTCTATTGCTCCCCTTGTTATTGATTTTCCAAATTTAATTTATTAAGATCAGTTGAATGTTTTTGACCAAGAATGGCGACATTCGTAATATGGATTTAGCTCGTTTATCAGATTCAAATATTAACGACTTGTCAAAAAATATCACAACTGGAAACAGGTGATATTACTGTACTATGTTAATCATTATGCACTTTTGTATTGAGCCTTTTCTATTTACCACATACGAATGCTAGTGATGAAAGGGTGTTTTCAAAAATAAATTTAGATAAAACCAAAATTCGTAATAGACTTTCGACAACAACACTGGCAAGAACTATGCACATTAAGCAGTTACTAACATTTTTGCAATCCTATTCTTTCAATGTAAAAATTCTTCTTCCCAATGATAGATGGGATGAATGATGGGTGGCAATAAAAATTAAAAAAATTGATAACCATTTGACAAATGACAGTTATGATAGCAAACATAACCTTAGTAACTAAGTTAGGAGTTCCTAGGGGATTTTGGGTTGTAGTCTAGGTATTTCAAAAAATTCATCTGGAAATGCTGAGTTTAGTGTTAGTTCTTGTCTAATTGTAAGTTATTATTCAGCGTTAGATTGTTGTATATTTTTCATTGAACTAAAACTAGTTAGTAACACTAGAGCTAGAACTAAAAAGTTTTAAGAGACGACCCGAATGTTTCTAGTTCTATGTCTAGTGTTAGTGATATTATACTTAAAGTGGAACTAACACTAGACCTAGAACTAGAAACATACGGGTGTAGCTTAAGGGCACGAACATTGTAAACAAATTGCTTTTTTGCATTCAACACGCAAATAAGCAGTTTTACTTTTTAATTTAGAGTTACAAACGGAACAATATTTTTTCGTCCTTTTTCGTCAAATCGTCTTGATCATCAGCTGGAAATAACGATCCTTAAAATTCTTAAAATCCTCTTTTGATTAATTCGTTGTTTAAAAAAAATCTCTAGATGATCTGTGTTGGCACATGATTGATGAATGATATATGTGTTTGTTGACGTCATATCCACAATTCTGTAAAACAGAGCCGTGGGCCAACCTTGCGTTCTTCTACTACAGCAATATTTATCTTTTCGTCTACAGCATCTACTCCAGATTTTGTGTTATTATAAAATGCATTAATTTCAGGCCTCAAAATACTTCATCATCTTGTTTGGAGTGATGCATCGAAGGAATAATGACGGCTGCTTTTTTTTTCTTCGACACTCTAGAAATCAATGTTTTATTACTTCTAAAACCATACAAAGTGGCTGCTCTGCTTTTGAAAGGTAGAAATTCTTTGGATTTGTTTCTTTTTATAGTTCCAACTGAAATTAGTTTGTTTTTGAAAAGTTAGTCTGCAAGCTCTATTGAGGGTTACTAATTATCACCGGTGATATTTCTGTACTTCCAAATATTGGCTTGCTAAGGCGAATAGCAGCTTACGTTGGAATAGAAAACCGTTTTTCTTCATTTGTGATATTCGCTAATGAGTCAACAATGGACTTTTAAACCACATTTTACAGGTTTACTCGGTAAATATATTTTAAATTTGCATCTATCTCTAAAGGTGACCAGCATTTTGTCAACAATTGCAACAGCTCCTAGAAGTACGCTGATCTGCTTTTATTCTAGTCATTCTCTCTTCTCGAGTACCGAACCTCAGACAAGCCAATAAAATAGCAAATCTTTTCGCCGATATCACCAGCCGACAAATTTCCCGGCCAGTACCATCTGTTGAAAAAATCGATTCAATAGCCTCATTATTAGATTTGAAGGCAGCAGTTTTCAAATTGGATATCTAGTATGTATATCTCCGGAGAAAATTTGCTGCTATGTTTCAACTGGTTCAATTTTTGGCAAAACATTTTAATTTCCCCAGTTTCAGTATATTGTGGGTCGGTGTTCTCACTTTTTGGCTTGGTTTAGTGACTGCCCATTCGTATCTGTTCTTTTCACTTATGTCACTTTCATCTTCACTTTCAATAGCTTGCATTTCGTCTTGGTCATTACTTTCAGACTTTGGTTAGAAAATTCGGTGTCACATTCTTCAAACTATCTTTGTACAGTTTCCTCAAAGTTAGAATCTCTAGGT